TTATTCTCAATTAGTAGCTATACTTACCCGACCTATTCTGAACTGTAGGGTTTCTAAGCCAGCTTATGGAGACCCTTGTTAGTTATCAGCACATGGAAAGTAAGTTCGTTTAAAATTGATTTACACCAAAAACTAAATAGATATATTAGAATAAACTCTATATGATTCCAACTATCAGTCCTTACATGTCTTTAAATATCCCACTTGTAGGCAAATTCTTCTTCAATATCTACGCTGGAGTCAGGTCTCCAAAAGCATAACAGTTTCTCGTATTCAGAACCACAAATTCGCCGTCATAACCCTCTCTACCTTTCCGCAAAGGTTTGGCAATTTAGCTTTATTGTTTATCAGACCAACTTGCCAAAAGATAAGAATTTTGTTGGTTGGAAGTGAATATCCGAAGTCCTATAGCATGTTGGCCCTACTTTCGTATAAACTGCAACCACAGCAAAACTGCATACTCTTGTTTTCATAAGATTTACGAGATACTCTTAGCTAAAAGTGGAGTGTAGTTTTCGTATGGATCGATTAGGGCTACTGACCAGAAGGTTAACCAATTTCAACAATACTAATAAAGCTTTATGTTCTACTTAGTCCGATATAAGTAGATCGACTACCAGAAAGGGGTAAAGTGATCTGAGCGTTGTATCACTGCCGTTCTGCTATCCGGCCATTTTAACTCTGCATCTCCATCTTCTCACACAGTGCTGAGGTCCCTAAACCAGGAGGCTCAGGATGCTGCAGGACTGGCACATCTTCTGCAGCAGATGCTCTCCAGTCCCAGTCTGGCGGGCCTCTGTCCTGCGCCTGGTGGCATGGTCAACAATCTTTCCGCCCTCAGTGCAGCCATGTCAGCGGCAGCCAGCGCTTTCAACATTCTCCCACCTCCACCGGCAGTCCAATCGGCCGGCCTGCCGTCCGCGCCAACCTCAATGACCGCCTCACAGCCCGGCTCACTTCTGCCTCTCCTCCCTGGGCCGCATTCGCTCCAGAAACCGGCTCATCTCCAGTCGCTCGGCTGGATGAGTCTGCCCAACAAGCCGGGCCAGGCAACCGTAAAACTCGCTCCAGCCAATGCCAACAACGGCCTCACCTCGACCTCCGGATTCACCGCTCTTCCCACCTGCGGGCTCCTCGACTCGCCGCTGATTGGCTCGCCCCGTCCCGTCGCCTGGCGCTCCCGTTCCGGCCACTCCCGTAGCTATGGCGTCGTAACCCACCCACCCTCGACTCGCCGGGCGCCGGCCAAACATGCATCACCCTCACCTCCTCTCGCTCATCTTCATCCTCCTTCCCCCCCTCCGCCTCTCCCTCATCCTACCCCCGCTCCTCTTCCTCCTCCTGCTCCTCCTCCTCTTCATCATCCTCAGCAGCAGCGACCAAACCTCTCCAGCCCTCGGGCCGGGACGAAACGACCCCTCTCAACACGGTCGCAGTCCGGCCAGACCGGCCCGACGTCGAGTGAAGAAGCCACTATAGGCGGCGGCCTCGACAGCTTTTGGGAAAGTCGCGAGATGGCCGCTTTGAAGGCCCGAGTCCGTCTGCTAGCCTCACAACCGATCGGACCGACTGGTCCGTTGGGCCGACCACGCTCTGGCGAGCCGATGAACCTGTCGACCGGGGCCAGACCGGCCAAAACGCCGGCCGGCGAGGACTCAAACCTGTCGCCTCCAGGGCGAGACGTGTCCGGCGACTCAGCGCCTCGGTTTGGTCTCTTTCCGGGCCTCGCTTCGACGACCACGTCGCCGGGTGACTCGGCCTCCCCCGTTGCCTCCCCGTCGCCGGGTAAGACGCCAACTTTCCCGGCCCCTGCGTCTCCGGGTGGACATCATTTTTTGCCAGACGCCTTGTCCGCTCTTCTGCCCACCGTCGCACCCGTCGGGCCCCTCCTCCTTTTTTCGCCTTCGGCCCCCTCCAACCCGTCCATCGGTCACCAGACCATCGGGAAATCACGCGTCGCCGAGGAGAAGGCAGCATCGCTGCTTCACCCGGCCAACAATAGCTCAGCAACCGACGCCGGCCTCTTCGCTTCTGTCCTTTACGCTAGTCAGACTCCTCTGCCGGGCCAGACACACACACCACCCATGAGACAACAGCACAAATCCGAAATTTGGATGCGCTCATCTGCCTCGAGCGCTTTCAAACTGGTCCCGCCACCTACCTCATCCTCCTCCTCTTCTTCCTCTTCCTCCTCCTCTTCCACCTCGTCGTCCTCCACCTCTTCATTATCTTCGGCTTTATCATCATCATCATCATCATCGTCTTCTTCGTCCTCCGCCTCGTCTGGTTCCTCTACGTCTCTGTCACCTTCGCCCACTTCCTCGATCAACTCAACTTCGCCCACCTTTCTGCTTCCCGGACACATCGTCTGCCCAGCCTCGTTGTCTCCGACACGCTCGGGTGCCGGAGGACGCGTCGCAGCCCCAACCACTAGACGTGGCGGCGTCACCTCTTCCGTCGGTATGGTCCGCTCTTCCGAGACCGGTGGCATGATTAGACCTCCGGTCTCCGCCGCCTCCGGCAATTCAAGTGCTTCGGGTCTGTCAACTCCCTTGGGAGCCGGACGCAAGTGTCAAAAGTGCACTTGTCCCAACTGCGAAGTGGGCCGGAATTCGCGATGTGGCCCGGCCTCGGGATCTCGAGCATCTGCCGGGCCCGGAGTTGGACCCGGCCGGAAGGTGCACATTTGCGCAATCTGCGGCAAGACTTATGGCAAGACGAGTCATCTTAAAGCGCATGTGCGTTGGCACAACGACGAACGTCCCTTTCGATGCGTCTACGACTTTTGCGACAAAGCCTTCACTCGATCGGACGAACTACAGCGCCACATGCGAACACACACCGGCGAGAAACGTTTTGCTTGCAACCTCTGCGAAAAACGTTTCATGCGTAGCGACCACCTCAGCAAACACAAGAAGACGCACGAATTGGCCACTGGCCTCGTCGACCCCGTCAACCCCGCATCGATAGCCACCTACACAGACGCCAGGACGACTCCGTTCACCGGCTCCAGCCTCCGTCGTGCCCGGCAGCCCAACGCCTCGGCCTCCCGACGTCGTCAGGCGGCGCCTAGACTCTCAGTGAACACGGCCCGATGTCTCACTCTTGGCCTTGGCCTCTTTGCCCGATACGCCGGGCATGCAGCATCGTCACCGGTCCATACAGACGCCACCAGTACTCTTGAGCTCCTAGAAACGAGCCTCCTTCGGCCGCCAGACGTGAAATCAATCCCCGACGAGGCTGAGCCGGTAAATGTGGTGGCGACTACGTTGCCGCCAACACCAACGCCAACGCCAACGCCGAAGCCGATGCCGATGCCGACGTCAACACCAACTGTTGCAGTAGATGAGAAGGAGAAGCAGCAGGAGGAGGAGGAAGAAGTGGATGTGGTGGGGTTTGGTGAAGAACCCGGCCTGTCAGAGCCGAAAACCTCGGAGACTGGAGAAAAGAATCAGAGGCATAAATGCAGTGTAATCAAAGAAGATGACGAGGAGGAGAACCTTGATGAGGCTGATATAAGCATGGGTGAGTTGAGTGAAGCCTATGTGAAAGGCGATGGGATTGATGAAGATTATGAGGATGACGAGGATGAGGATGTTGATGATGAAGAGGAGGAAGAAGAGGAGGACGAAGAGGAGGAAGAGGAGCAGGAGGAGGGAGAGGAGGAGGAGGACGATAGAGAGCGACTGGAAGAGGACGTTCGGGAGGAGGGAGACGCGAGTGGTCTAAATGATGATGAGGCGCCAGAGTCGGCTCTGCTTGACCACAGACGAGGTGACTCTGTACACGGTGACCTGATAGACGGGGAGGTAGAGGCCACAGCTTCAACAACCACCTCGTCGGCTTCATCAATTGACCCCGGAGAGTGCAGCCTCGAGGAGGAGGGAAACGAGGGTAGGCAACGAAACGCCTAAACGCCCAATCTCCACCGCGACTCGTCTACACTTAGGACAGATTTTTAGCGCTGCTGACCAGCCAGATCGCCTAACGTCTGCAGTGCTGACGAGGGAAAAGTGAAGATATTCTAGTCAGCCTGCGCCGAATGGCGAGGTTTATTTTTAACTCTTTTTCTGCAAACTCTTCCTCACAAGCGCTTTTTGACTGCTGTTTCAACGATTTCTTTCCACTTCACAACCGCTGCCACAATGACTAGATCTTGTCCGACCCCTTTGACACGATTCGGAGAAACATAGCCGTCTGATTTTTCGTTCTATGCGTTTTGATGATGACATCGACTCGAAGGGATGCAGGAAACAGTCTCCTCCAACGAGACATCACCTGTTAAGTAGCTGAAGACTACAGTACAACCCTGATCTGCTCTAATGTACATAAACTATGCAGTAGCCCAATAGCAACAGCCAATGTAAATGCCTTCCACACATGATTTCTCGGCAGAGAATCTATCCTGCGCCTCTATTCGCAAAAAACAATCTTCATCCTTTCAATTTTCCATTAATCTCATTTTAACTTGTGCCACCCCTGGCAAGCATATGCTCAAATATAAAGCATACTTTGAAAAAAAGGGACATTTCTTTTTGTCTTTCTTAGGGTCTGCGTTTCGACCGTCTACAAGTTTCCGTCTCCGGTAAAACTGACAGAACTTCAAAGTATCTGCCTTCCCGAGTGCATTAGGCAACTTGACAGCGCTCAGTAGAGACAGGACTTATTCCCGACTCACTCCAAGTATTGTGTGTTTCAACTGGTTGTTGGCTTTAATAGGCATGTTGACGCGTATTTTAATCGGTTTCGAGCTCGTCTCAAAGTTTCATCAACAATCTTAATGAACCTCTAATTGATACTCGGTTTTTTTCATGTCGATGTGGATATTCTGTTGTGATGGGCCTTCTGCCAGCAAATGGGTCTTTTTAATTCCATCAAGGAAAATATTATGATGCCACTCACGTACTACTCTCTCCATGAAACAAAAAGAAAAATACTGTACAATTCTGCTTCAGCACTCGGTCAAACCGATTGCAGGTGGTAATCTTATTTAAAACATTTTAGACCCAGTTTTCCCAACTTGGTCTTATTGACAGGACTGACTAGATAACACACATTGTCGAAAGTCCTCTGCCATAGTACTCTTGATGATTTCCAGTAACGGATGCATTTCTAGTCATTTCTCCAGCTACCCTGTTGGTGCTAAGAATGGAAAAGCCCGCTGATGATGCCGGCGAATTAATTGGAAATGTACCCCGTCCACAGTTCGACGTTAGAAATTACTATGAATACTATTGCAGAGGAATTTAGATAAGATCATTTCCTCTGAGTCACACTAACCACACAACGAAGTTGCGAAAATGAGGTCAAACCAATTCTGTACCACGAAAGGTGACTCCAACCAATATAAAAACACATCTTGGTCTTCATATCTGCTATAATTGGTTAAAGTGTGTATGGGACTGATTGTTAAGGGGATGATTGGTATCTACTATAATATACCCCATTTTGACTCTACATGTGTTAGGTAGACGGCCTTTATGGATCAACCAACCCTGGGATATTGGAAGCCTTTTCGCTTTGACACGACAAACAGGACACTTAATTCGATGAGCAACAATATTCGATACTGAGTTTTGTCAAGAAAAATAATTTCGATATTCTGCCCATGATAGGAAAGGCTTCTTTTTGCATACAAATTCCCAAATGTCAGCAACATTGGTCTCTTAGCTAGCTCTAGTTCTTGTTTCGAATATCGCAGGGGCTGTGGATGAATCGAGGAGAAGGAGGAACGTCAGCCCAGCCCAATGTATTAAAAATAATAAAAATCAGGCATTTGCTTTCCTTAGTATGCAGATTCGCTATCAGAGCAATAAGAGACGATGAATTAGGTATACCTCGACAGCTTCAGATCGCTCCCTTTAAACCGGATTCAAAAAGAATCGCTTCTATGAAATGGAGAGGCTTCTTACATTTATAATCTTCATGGTTGGCTTGTTGTAAGTCATCAGTATCGGCCAATTTTCGATAAAATTAATTTTTGATACCATATTATGAACTAAGCCTAATCCTAAGTGGGTTAATAGTAAAATGACTAAATTTCTTATTAAGAATATAGATATAGTTTCATGGACTACTCATTGTAAATTTAGTGACGTCCTCGGGTGTAATGGCAACTATACGTTTAAAAAAGTGGGGTGACCTCGTTATCGCAATTTGGTCTTGTTGTCAGGGCGGCATAGTAGAACGTACCTATTCTGCCATAGTAGTTGTCATGATTCCCAGCATTAGACAGTGGACTTGGTACATTCTCAAACGTTTCGCCGGCATCGTAGGGGGCATCATCAATGAGTTTTGCAAAGCTACGAAATCGTCAAGGAGACAATGTTCGAATTAATTTAATTTGTCTCTTTGACGAGTTCGTAGCTTGCTGCGGAGAATGGCAAAACTCACTGATGATGCCGAATACGATGCCGGCGAAATATTTGAGAATGTATCAATTCCACTGTCTGATGCTGGGATCATGACAACTACTATGGCAAACGACTTCTGACTAGTTGCGTTCTACTAAGTTACCCTGACAACAAGACCAAGTTGCGACAACGAGGTCAACCCACTTCAATAAATCGAAAGGAGACTGCGACC